TCGTCTGAAAACCTCTCACCCACCCCCCCATCATGAGCCACTGATTCAGTCTCACTAAATCTAGTTTGCATGTGGCCTCACCTGCACACAAAGCTTCATCACTCGCCCCTATTGTGAGAGTTCTATATCCTATTCAAAGAAACAGTACAACACAAATCAATCATCTTTTCCTAATGGAAAGTCCACATTAACATGAGAGGACACTCCATTTCCGTCCAAGAATGCCAGGTCGAATGGTACCCAAGCTCCAGCCAATGTAGATCTAGGGGCCGAGAGGCACTCTCATTTCAGGTGGGATAGCAAGGTGATGCTGTATGGTCCAGGGGTGGCTCGGGAAGTCAATGGTGTATTAACTGAGGATATGACAGTGGCAATAAAAATGCAAATTAGCAGCCAAAGCAGGAGATGCCCTGAATCTGCCCTCCATAAGCCTGGATAATACAGCCACCACACCTGCCAAGACAAGTCGTTCAACACATCACAGACAAAAACTACCATAAATGACAGAAAGAGAGAGACTGGATATGAAGGTGCAGGGATCATGTCAACCTTGAGTGCATAGGAGCTACAACTTTTTTTCTTTCACCAATACATTTTTAGCTGTAAATGATGATATTTTAAATAGTGTATTTAACTTGTGTTGTGTTCAGCAACAATATTATCATGTGTTATTTACAAGGAAGCAACATTTGGTTGAAAAGACATTGAAAAGACGAATATTATTACCTCAAACAACATCTACATTGGGTTGGAAAGTGAAAGGTGAAAAACCATCTGTTATTGGACTTAAGTGGGACAAAGTCAGACACAAGAAATACAGCCCAAACATAAAGTTTGGTGGTACACAATTACTTATACTAACCAAGCATTGAAAAACTGTTTGAATTATGATCATAATATCAATTTATCAACATCACAACTATGAAAAACTGCTAAGTTGCAAATAAAGCATTTGGATACTTGGATTAACTCTTTGTTTAATGCTAATGCATTTATTAGTGGCCACAATCTTAAAGGTCTGGAAGAATAATGTGAACATCATTATGGAAAACAAGAAGACTTATAAGAAAATTGTATGATTTTCTCTTTTTAAACTGTGTGATATGCTTCCCTTTTGAGAGTAACACTAAACTTACTCTTAATCCCTTGACACCACTGGAGTCCACATTGGCCCTGGCCCCCTTAAGGGCCCTCTGAGACACATTGTCCATATTTCAAAACATGCCTGCGTAATGGAACCAGTAACATGGTCTCATGTGCGTCACAATGATTATCTTTTGATAAAGGGTATAGTAAGTTAAGGAAAGGCAATGTTGCACACACACACATATATATATCTACCGCTATATATATCTATATATATATATCTATATATATATATATATATATATATATATATATATATATATATATATATATATATATATATATATATATATATATAGATAGATTGATTGATAGATAGATAGATAGATAGATAAAAGTAGAAGTAAAAGGAGCAGTATTTACTTTAAATGAATATGAATTTTGGATTGTTCACAAGGCTATTACACTCTTTTTTACAGTACTAGGTTAAACTTTGCTTATATTGATATATATAGTTTGTGTAAGCAGAAGCACAAAGACCACAAAAGCCCATCTTTTAAAATCAATAAATGTAATTCAAAAAGACAAGTTTATGTTGCATTTCTTTATAATAGGACTACAGTAGTATGTCTTCTAATCTCCCTCTGTCTGTTCAAATGGGGCTAGGACTACATGCAAAAGACAGACGTATTTGGTAAGACCCTTTTGCTAAATATTTAACTTTAAAATCTGACAAACGAGTCTCACTCAGTCATCTTAAGGGCTTTGAGCTGCTGAGCACAGGAGGTAATAGTTTTGGATGGAGCAGTACAGAAATATCTGTCATTTTTCTCTTTTTCTGTCAGCTGTGACTGTTCTATCTTTCTGCTTAGACTTTCTCTGTTCTTTGCATCCCCCACCTTAAAACCCTTGTTAAATCAGTGGAAGATTTAACAAGTGTTATAGCAGTGGGAGGGGTGGGTTTGGGGGTAGGATCCTTCATGGGCCAGCTTTGTGTCTGTGTTTGTATGTAAAGCTGGTGAGCACGAGTAGTATCACGATGCACTGTCTGGAAAAGTATTTTAAAACCTGCCCCACAACTATGCCTGGTTTCAATCATAGGCCCAGTCAAAGAAAGGAGGTGGAATAGGAGAAGAACCACCTGGTAACCTCAGTCTGCCCTCTGCCAAGAAAAGCACAGAGAGGAAAATATCAAGAAGAAAGGTAGCACCATTGTTCTAACTTACAGTTCTACATTAGTATTGAATTAAACATTACACTTTTCAAGTATGTAAACATGTATCTTACTAAACACCCTGAAATGTAGACTCTGCTCTGCCTTTCTTTGTTCAGCTGATAGGGTACTATTACTTTGCCCTGGGTTTCTCCCATGTACAGTATTTCTACTCTGCAGCAGAGGGGCTACAACATCTGTTCAGTTTGAGGCAGCAGGCTACGGTCAAGCATGTTTCCTAACTTAAGTGGAATTTATATGAGGGGTTGCAAGAGCATGAATGAGTCCCAAAGTGTCGGTTTCATTTTTACATCACCTTATCAGTGCACAATAAACACTTGTTAAAACTGGGACACTCTGTGGTTGGCTTATATTTCAAAGTCTGCCTAAAGTTCTCTGCAGTTGCAGCTTCAGATGGTTTGAGTTAATTCTATTGTTAAACTTGGTACAATAGTGTTCTGCTTGAAAACCATGAACCTTGCAAATATCGATATATCCGACACATCCAAACATAACAGAGAATAAAAAATCAAATAGGAATGGGAAACAATTTTCAAAGTACTAATAATTTTGAAGAGAATATTTAAAAGAAAAGAGGTTTTCACATCATTTTGAGATTCCTCCCATGGGGACTTTTAAAATGTATAATAGTGCAGCAATGGCTGGGACTCATCAAGCATTCTGCCAGATGTTTTTTTTTTTTTTTCCATTATATAGTTTTTAATTGTATTTACAAAATAAGTCATCCAAAGAAGGCAGGGAAACAGTTACATTGTTAAAAACAATGAAGAAATACAATCTGAAATAAGCACATTGATCAAAAATGACATTTGGAAACGAACATTGTAGACCCTAATGATTTCAGAAGAGCCTTAAAACTCATTCTGTGTCACCAGAGCTTTAAGATACAGATTGATTGAAGTATTTGGTCTGAATGCTAGACTGATTTCTTGACTAGTTTAGTTGGAACTTTGGAACAGCAAACTGCATCACATCGATTGATCAGAGATTGTGGATTCCATTTTCCATTGTTAAAAATCATGACAGATAAAATGGAATGAAGTTTAAAGTGGTTTTATAAACAAAAAAGTGTCAGAAACTATGATTGAAGCACTGGAATTCCAGTTGACTTGAGCAGAAGTGTTGGGCAAGGGAGCCAGAGCCAGTAATGTAATTCCCTGACGCATGGAATAAGCTATTGATCATATGAAGCGGGTGAACAGAAGCATTTATATAGTGAGAAGCACTATAGTCACCTACAGATAAAAACATAGGTTTCCACTTATTTCTTTTTTGAAGTTACAACAGATGAAAACTTCTGCATGTAATTAAATCTAAATGTTACCTTTTTCTTCAAATGTAAAAAACGTTCTCCCTCAAAGTCCAGTGATCATTTGTTAATAATCTTACATTAAATACTTTAGATCAGCAGAAACGCTTACAAATCATAAAAAGTTACATTTTTCTTATTGGATAATTTGTGAGACACGTGTAAAAACATGTATCTTTCTAAGTAACATCAGTTCTTAATTCCAAACATAACATTACAGAAATAATTTAGAAAGTAAAGTGGAAGTGAACTGAAAGTGACAAAGCTTTGGTCTGTGTGTCTCTATTGACCCTGCATTTTGATAAGATTATTTTATACTTTGACCTGGAATCATAGTGTTGTGCTACTGCTCTTTGAGGTAGCAAAGAGAAGTAGCACAAATAGGAAGTCCAATCAAAGTTGGACTTCTGCAAGTGCCATGGACACTACAGGTGGGAAACATTTCATTTCACAGGCGCTGCTCCACAGGAACTCCACCTTTAAGTTGGTTTGGCCTCCACTCGTCTTCTTCCGACCTAACAAAAGCGCTCCTTGGTGAGACATTAACACGAACAGCCTGAAAAGTATTTTTGCTGGAAAAAGATGTTTCGTTTTTATTTAAGGCAACTGTTCAAATTCGGAATCTAATTTAGTTTTTATATAATTTTAATCATAGAAAAAATTAATTACTGTAGACTTCAAGTCCACCTTGTTCCAAGACATGGAGAATAAAATGTCTTTAAAGCAACGCTAAGATTGACACCGATCCTGTTTATTTCAAAATCTGTCAGACACCGCTTTGAGTCTGAATTAAATAGCTCTTATCTTGCCAAAAAATTTATGTCATGTTAGCTATCATTCAACTTTGCTCTAAGAGATTTCTGAATAGATGGATTGCATATGGAGTTGGTCGGGAAACACCTTTGAATACTCAAGGTATAGATGAGTAGGAAATAAATAAAGAGGTTTGGTTTCAAAATCTCACATTCATTCCTCTAAAAATGATTAACTGTTCATGAATAAGTTATCAACCATTAAGAAAAAATTAAAAGTTCCTTTAACGAGAATCATAGAATCCAAAATACATAGTAATCTGACTTGTACTAATGGGTCCACATTTTACATTAGCATAAAAGATGCATGTTCTAACTATCTTAGGAAGATCAGTTAGGTAAACTGATGCCTTAAAATCGTGAATTAACTAATGCATCATAGAATGATTCAAATCATTCAGATTTACAAGAAAGTATGTAAGATGATGCATAAACAGCAAAGTAGTTGATAAAGCTGAAATTGGTTTCCAGAAGATTACCTAGTGGCAAGTTTGCATGTATTTTTCCTCAGTATAAAGAACTAACCATATAGAGATAAATAAAACATCACACAGAATGATAAAATCTTTCTTCACATATATTTTATAACATTTTGAAGTACATTTTAGAAATAGAAGCTACAGTTTATAAAACCTTTCCAGCAGAAATCATTGATGGGCCAGCATCAGCCTTTTTTCCTCAAGCAGACAGGTCTATTTTTTATATTAAAAAAAAAACAAAAAACAGACAATTGAAAAGAACTCCGCTACATTATTTTGTCCTGCGCTACCTTTAAATTCCCATGAAAGCACCAGCTGTCTGCGTCTCTCGTCTTTTATAAAATATAAATTATTGAAAAATATTCAAATGTTTGTGAACTAAATACAATAAAAATGATCTCTTAACAAAAAAAAAATACAAAGACACTATAAAATGCACAGAAAAGAATAACATCCATTAAAAGACAATAAGGCTTTTCCTTCTAAAATCCATTTTGAGATATGCATATGCCACAAAATATTGGTGCGTGTATATATACTCGTCACTGATAACAAGTCCTGCAGTAGGTTGTAGTCTCCCACATTAAACAACAGAATGCTTCCTGACAAAACATTTTTCTTTGAAATATTAACATTATAGGCAATAAAGTTTTCCTTTGTTTTATACATTATGACAACAAAATGGAAAAAACAAAACAAAAAAGAAACAGAAACAAAAGAAACACTTTTTTGAAACAAGAAGAATAGACTGAACATACAGTGCAGTTTATTACATTTAGATCTTATTCACTGTATTGTAAAAGCAACACAGGTTTGAGAGTCAGTGCTGGATGAATGATGGAGCTTTTTACCAGTTAGGCAAGAAGAACAAATACAGCATCTCTTCTCTGCACTCAGTGGGAAACCCGAATCAGCAAAGACTTTGTCCTAAAGCAGTCTGCTTTACAAAAAAAAAAGATAAAAGACAACACTTTCCAAATACATGAGAAATTTCTGCTCTGTGTCTTCAAACATTGTAGACACCCAAAGCACCGTAGCCAAAAGACCTCACATGGGTTTTGGTTATTATTCCTGCTTTGTCTCACGATTATTTGTGTAATCCGGGTCTCAATAAAGCATTATGAAATACAATCTGTACAAATAGACATCTCCAAAGCTATTTTCATCCATATGGGTAACATTCAGCCACTGTAAACAATAACATAGTATTTTAGGATAATATTCAACTTTGGCATTTCCCAGTGTACCGACACTGTTCCCACTACTTGGGGAGGAAACCACTGCCAATTCGCTTAAATTGTAACCAGTGAATTGATATAAATGTGCTCTTTGAATACGACACTCTCTGAGACATATATTATTTTGTTAATTGATAAAACACACATAAACAACAATCGGAATAGTCTGCCATCAACCCTGCATGAGTCATACAAGCCAACTTGCGTCCTTTCTACTTCCTAAGTGATAATCACCTGCATATTCGAAAAACCTCCTTTCCATGACCATTGTTCATACCTAACAGATTCCCACTCTCCATAGCCAACATTTGTCTACTGCTGCTCAGTCTTCCTACATTGCACCATCACACTATTCTAACTCCTTTCTATGGGCAACATGTGCTAGATAACAGACAAAAAGGGACTAAATTTGACATTTCAAGTTGAGTAAAAATCACCATAACTTTTACAGAATAGACAGAACCATTAAAACATTATCAAAACGATCGTTGATCTTGACAGTGAACTGACAAAACGGTTCATCTAATTTGCACCAAAGACTCCTGATTCTCCCCACATAGATTGTCTACAGTTTGCTAATACTGGAGGCATATGCAAAAATGCTTATGTTTCAGTCACAGAATGTGTCCCTAACAAGGTGGCCACACGTACATAAAGGGTGAAAGCGTCGGTTTCAAGAGCAACGGCTACTTTCAGTTGTCTTTCAGACATCTTTGGGTATGAGTAATCTCAAACAGGCTCTTGCAGGCTGATAGAGCATGGGGCTAGAGTGTCTCTAGTGTTGTCTGACTCAGTTTGGAGCAGTTCTGCAATGCTCTGCATGAAGAGAGCAATGTAAATTGGCTTTCAGTGGTGAAATGTATTTTAAACCCCTTTAAAAAAGAAATACTCTGCCCAGTAATCAGCCTACGAGACATTAATCAGGTGCTCTAACAATATAATACTGGCACAAGCATATGGTCCTTGAACATTAAATCCAACATTACACTTTTTTTGGTCCTTGCTAAAAACTCTCTCCTTGCAGAAGAGAAACAGTGATAATAGATGTAAATATCAGTTCAGTAATGACATTTTGGCAACTGTTACCTCAGCAGGAACCTTTTACCTGCTTCCTCATTGACTCAAAAAAGAAATGAGTTACTTTAAAAAGGTTCCTTCTTGAACTGCATTGTTCATTCACACCTTGTATCTCGGAGCTCTCGTCTCCCCCGCTTTGCTACCTAAACGGAACAGAAGATAACCTGATAATCCTACCCAATAGCGCCTCACTTGCCTTGAGCTGCTAAATAATACCAGTAACATTTCACACACGCGCACAATCAAATGCACACTCACACACAGGTAAGCACGTCAAATCCAACAGGTTGTGAATACAGGCTTTTTTGGCTTCTGCCTTCCTTTTAAAACGTGGTCTGAAAGACTGGAGCTCAAACCTGACAAAGACCACACCGAGTCTTTAAAAAAACTTTTCGGTCCCCCCAGAAAAATGGATTACCAAGTCTATCTCACAAGCCTCAGTCCCTGTGGCTCCTTAACTTTTGTCCTCAGTTTGTTTTTGCTTTTTTTCCCCCTCGGTTCTGTTTTCACTCGTCTGTGTCGGGCTTTACGTCCAACATTGCGTGCAGCTCTTCAGGTGTGTAGCCGAGCAAGCTTTTCAAGTCACAGACAAAGCGGTAGACGTAGCGCTTCCCAGAAGTCTTGTGGATAATATTCTTGTCGTAATAGTAGCGCAGGCCACGGCTCAGTTTCTCATAATTCATTTTGGGCTTGTTTTTCCTCTTTCCCCACCTTCGGGCAACCTGCAAAGGCAAATGGAACAAGCTCATCAGGAGAAGGAGGTGACTTATTTTGCTCATCAATTCTCCTGTTGACTAGTTGCTTTTGTATTGATTAACTGGTTATTAATCAAAAACACAAGGGGCTAATATGGATAAAGCTAAAGGATAGAACTAAAACTAATTCCACTTGAGAAATTCTGGTTAGAACATATTTTTATTTGTAGAAGTAAACAAAAGCATAATGTGTATTTTTGCTGTTCTGAATAGGTTGTTAATCCAGCAAAAAAGGATTATCTGATTACTAAATTTGTTGATTATTTTAATAATAGATTAATCCTGATTAACTTTATTTCAGGCCTACATCATAATAGTAATAATGGATATGATATTCCTTGCAAAAGTATGAATGCATTTCAAATATTTTGTGATTTTCCTACTTTAAGAGAAAAATAAATAAATAAAACTTAAATCTATCTGATAAGGATTTTATATGACGCATCAACTTTAAGTAGCATATCATTCTAAAATAGAAACAACTGTTTTCCATTGCTTTTACCAATAAAACATTGATTCCTTAAATGCCATACAGAGCAATAAAAGTCAACTGATCAGTAAATAAAGGTCCTCTGTGTGCAGTTTAAATTAATATGGCAATACCCCAAAACCGTCAGGCTGGGAAGGGTGGACTTTAATCAGAGAAACACACCAACAACTAGTAGATGTGCAGTTCGCAATTCTGATCTTTAAAGAAAGAGTGGGATGATTGCTGAAATGTCAAAAGACAAAGAAAGTCTTGTTTGTGGTTTACAACCAGCCATGTGGGGGGCCATCATATGTGCAAACCTTTCAGTCTGCACATATGATGCTCTGAGTAGCAGAAACGAATGATGCACGCAATCCTACCTCCACTGTCCTATTTCCCCTGAGGGATACAGGAGTGGTAGCATCCTTTTGAGTCTACCCTTTTTAGCATGAAAAGCGAAACTAGTAAGAGACAATTGAAAGATGGACAATAATCTGTTTAGAGATGTATGCCAAAAATCTTTCAGACGTTATTTAAAAACCTTTTTAGGATTCCTTCCACTTTTGCACCACATGGTGTTGCTGTCTTAAAATTCTCATTTAAATGCATTAATGTGGTATTGCATCAGTGTAAATAAATCTGAAAAAAAAAAATACTTTTGCATGGTACTAGAAATGATATATCCAAGTAGGACCTAGTCATTAAACACCAGTCCAGAAACTAGAGGCAACTGTTTTCACAAAGAAGACATCTTATTCATCTGGCCAAGCACTTAGGACCTCCCATCTCGTGTGCCAGTGACCAGGAGGGTCACAACCTCTCACCTCATCTGGGTCAGAGAGCTTAAACTCCCAGCCGTCGCCTGTCCAGCTGATGAAGGACTGGCAGGACTTGTCGGTCAGCAACTCCAGAAGAAACTGCCACAGCTGGATGGGGCCACTGCCTGTGGAACAGATGCGAAAGGGTGTTTGAAGGAGGCGTTTTGTTTGGGCAGCTTACATTGAGAGACTGCATTGTTGATTGTCCTGATGCTGGCCAGAGTGAGGCTTTACTGAGGTAAGTGTTTGCTCAGGCCATAGGGATCAAAGTTTGAGGGAACATTCCCTAGTTCTAAAGTGTACTTATTGGTTCAAGGTATTAAAATTCTCCATCTATCCATAGGATGCTAGTGCTGCATATAAACCAAGGTCCTAAAGCGGCATAGCTTGCTTTCAGATATTTTATGACACACTGCAGTGCAAGAGGAATTTGTCAGGAAAGAAAAAGCTTTAAGGCCAAACAGAATGCCAGATCTCAACACTGTCCAGTCCTAAATATGAAACTGCTAAATATTCATGCCAATTATTCACTTAGGTCTGAAGAGGGACAAAGTAAACCTTCTAATCTGGGTCAGGCTGAAGGAAAGCAGTGGAACTAAATGTCCTACTAAATACAACAGTCTTATTCATCATGTAGTCCCTTGTCTGCCAATGGCCCTCTACAGTATGTGAATCTAGAGTCTGTGTCTGTATGAGTTCCTCACTGATGAAATCACCATTTTAAAAAAGAGGTGCTGCCTCTGGGCGTCTGCAGCACATCTAACAACTTAGAAGCAATGCTTCAGAAAGAGAAAAGCTCCTCCAAATATATACTTTATACTAAAATAGGGTTTGTTTTTTTAAAGAAAGATAAAAATAGAAACCTAATAATTCCAATTATTACAACTAAAACAAGACTTGATGGAAAAAGGAGAGAAGACAGAACAAAGAGAAAAAAAAGAAGGTTTTGTATATGAACTAGATTCACTGTGCTCCACTTTGATCGTGTGGTTTTTTTCACATAGAAGAACGCGCCCACTTTGAGGCTCCAATGTTGAAATCACACCTGCCTTTGCAGCGCACGCCGCCTCAGCAAAACTGGAGTTCAGCTAGACTCACCTCATTGTCTCCTGAGCGTATAAGAAAAACCAAATGTGCCCTTACACAACTCAAAACCAAAGCTTTCTGTGAAACAGACGCGTGGGCCGAAAGCTTGAAATGGCATTTCGGAGACCTTTTTATAAAACTCCTGTTGGGATGAAGACGGTGCAGAATAAACAGCCACTTTGGGCTTAAAAAGAAGTGACTTCTTTGCAACACTACGACTCTTTCAGGCCCAAACTGTTCAAAAGCGAGCCAAAGTAGCAGTCGGCCCACATACATGGGCGATACCAGCTCGCTGTGCTTTCATGCCAGAATGCAGGCGACCCGCGTAAAAAAAAAAAAATGTTTCCAAAAATATGTTGCACTCTTCATGCACAAAGGGCTTCATTGAAAAAGCATACACTGTGGCAAGAGGGTGGGGGCTTCCATTTACTGCAATGTTTAGTATGCAATCCATAGAACACTAAATACGTCTTAGATATGCACAACTAAGATAGAAACAATATCACTGATAGATGAGGGGAGATTCTTACTAAACCTTCTTTTTAGTATTTGCAAATATTATTCCTCATCAAAGTGTAAGAAAACTAGTTTTTATGTGGGGGTTTTTTTCCAGCAGAGAAAAAAAAAGTAAAAATCAATATTAAAATACAGATGTTTGAGCAGTTTATGAATTTGTCTGTTTGCAGGGTAAACAGAGATGAAAATCGCAAACTACTACAGGAAACCTGTAAAGATGTCAAACAGAGCTTCACTTATCGCTCAGTAGCCTTATCTTACACCTTTTCCTCAACCTTAATGTCACCTGTCATATCAGGACAGGAAATCAAGAAGAACAACTTCCTGAGTTGCTATAAACATTGTTTTTGGACATGTTTATAAACCTGTTTTGGTGTCTATTGGGATATCTGGTAACTATATGGACTATTGGAGGACAATGAACCCTTTCTAAAATGAGCCAATGTTTTAGGCACCATGCATTATCATGAAGATGAAGATTGTCAGCAGCAATACTCAGGTAGCCTGTGGTGTTTAAATTGAGCTTATTTGGTAATCGGTTCTCAAAAGTGAAGTATGGTATGTTTAAAGATGATATTCTGCCAATCTTTGCTGCAATGATTAGATGTTATTTGAAAAGTGTTGCCTCTCTTACATTACTCTCTCTCTCTTACTCAAACTAGTCTGTTTATTCTACTGTGAGTAAACAGACTATATCATTTGCTGCCCACACAGTTTTTATTTTTATTTTGAAACAGGCTTCCTAAACCATCATGCATAACCTGGTGGTTATGCATGATGGTTATAGTAGATCAGAGGCCTGTCAGATATTTAACCCAGCTTGTCTGGAACAAACCATCCTGTCACATTCAACCTCATTTAAGTTTTTGGGTTTGTGCTATTAGTCGATTTACATTTTGTGTTGATAAACGGCTTTACCTGTATGCACCTTGCTTTCTAATAAACAGCTAAGATGAAAGCAATGTTCCTCAGATTGAAATAACATTGCAATATATTAGACATAACAAAACTTGCACAAGAAAAAACTTACTAATGCTTTAATCTTGCCTAAAAAACCCCCCCCCAAAAATCGGAGTGATCATACAAAAAAATATTAACTTTGAAACACTTATTTTAGCAAAGGGTGCAGGGAGCAACGCAAGTCTTTAATGGTTTTGCAGGAGCTGTGTCTTCTGTTTGTTATTTGATTAAAAATCCATTACAACATCTTTCCAACATCATTACAAATGAATGACTCATTGTGCCTCAAGTGGCTTTTGAACTAATAACATTGCACATGAAGACTTAACTCATGCATACCAACTTCGGATCAGTCTAATGAGATCTCATGTATGTATTGTTTTTGACGTTCGAAAGATCCACTCGGCTTTCCCCCTTTTTTTATTAGAGCGATGCACTCTTGTGACTGTAATTTTCAGCTAGAATGAAAAAGTCCCGTTGCAGAGTCGGCAGTAAACATTTTAATGATTTCCCTATAAATGTTAAAAGTTAATACTACGCTTAGGCCAACAAAATACTAGAACCAACAAGCATTAAACTTGTTTTTACCTTCCTACACACATCAAGTTAGCACTTAAAGGTAACAACAACACCAAATATAAACTCAAACTTTTAACAGATGCAAAAATAGTGCATTTGCTTAAGAGGTTTGCAAGTATCTCAACATCTTTGTGAACCTGAAGAGCATACGTCAAGCAGCTTTTTCGAGCACGTATGGGGTGTGAAGATGCCTCAATAAGATGAAGAGATAATTTTGCTGTGTGGCTGCGCGCAAGGGCAGGCATGATTTCTTTATTTTACCACCGTTGCTAGGACGACCTGGAAAAATAGGTTTAGATGCGGGCTGCAGATAGCGACGAGGTAGATTAGAAGTGAAGGCAGAGCAAGAGAGTGAGAAAGAAAAATAGAGAGCAAAGAAGAAGAGAAGGAGGAGGCAGGAGCAAAATCTATTTTGCTGCCTTTGATCTGCATAACTTGGGCAGCTTTGGTAAAAGGTGTTTCTCTTTTTTTTTTATTTAAAAAGTAGAGCAAACACAAAACTCCCATATGTGGGAGTTTTGCAAAGCATCAACAACTGTGTTACAGCTGTGCAATGAAACTACAAGAAGTAAAATAATAAGTTTTACCCCGTCTGGTGATGGCATGAATACACAACCTGTAAGGATCTATTCCTAATCCAAAAATGAGGATTTCTGTGAAACTTTTCCCAGATTCACATTTAGCCTTTTTAGGTGTTATTGAAAAATATTACAAACCACAAGATTCTCACATTTGGTGTTTGCCTTCTTGTCATCTTACCCGTGTATCCTGCCAGCGCTGCCGCTGGGATGACTGGCTTATCCTTGCTGAGGTCGGAGCGTTCCCTCACGTAGTCCTTGAAGGTGCCCTTGGGCTTGTGGCCATGCAGGGCGGTGGGGTAATCTTCTGAATCAAAGCTGTCGTAGGATGGTACCCGCTGCAGGCTGCTGAACGACGACTGGCTGCTCCACGACTGGGTCAGTCGGTCACAGCTCTCAAAGCTATCGATGCTCTCAAAGGAGTCCTGGCCACCAAGTTTACCTGGGAAGGGATATGAAAGAGGGGGGAAGGATTTGTCATTGAGGAGCATGTTTAAAGTTTGGTACATTTAGTGTAGAGAAACAAAAGGTGATGAAAACTTCATACATATTCCCACATACAGTATTTGTTGTGTCTCCTACATCAATTTTTGTCAACTAGACTTCCCATGGATGCCTTATTCTCACACTTCCAAAGAGGCCAGATTAATAGAGTGCATAACTAATAGTAGACATGTTGACAAGTTTTCATAACTTAACTTTCTTTTTTTTTTTTATTATTAAAGTAACTTGAGGTTTCTGCAGCGCCTCCAGGGTACAGACAAGGTTCTAGATGAAACCATTTATAATTTTTATTCAACATCAGAATGATGGACCACTGTGTTGTTTTCATACACAAGATTCTAATGAAATACATTGAAGTTTGTGAGTTTAGTGAAAAAAGTTAAAGGTGAAAGAATAATTTAGCATTGTAAGATCTTATAATAATTATAAACAATAATAGTTTATACAATAATTTTGGGAGGCAGTGGATACGGTAGCAAAGATTAAATCATTGACTAACATAAGACCTTAGCAGGAAAATCTTGCTTCACTTTCTAAGCCATACAGTTCTCTGTTGTGCCACCCTTTCCATTTCACACCCCATTTCGCTTTTACAACCACCATTTGGCTTTGATTCCAAATGGAAGACAATCACACATACTGTCTTGCTATTTTTGGTCCTGGGAAAGATAAGCGGCGTCTTTGAATTGTAAGTCATTAACAAATGACAGATAATGCAGTGCCTCCACCAACGCTGAGATCTTCAGCTGGTAAAATTGAAGCCACATGTGAATATCACTCAGGCTACAAAGACTTTTCCCACATCGAGCAAGCAACAACACAACGCTTGAGAGTTCGGTATGTGTGTTGCGTGATGATCGGATCCTAAATCTTCCAGGCAAACATTTAAAACCCTAAAACAGGGGGGCCCTTTAATGCTGTACATGGCAGATGCTCTTCATTTATGCAGTTGGGGATTTGTGAGAAGAAAAGCCCCTCTCTTTATGACTTAAAATGTAAACCATGTTGCTAATTCCTCTGTAAACTATCACTTGGAGAGAAAACAAGCCTGCCAATTAGAAAAAAAAAGCAAACTGTTTCATGAGAAAACCCCTTGCCTGCTAACTGAAGATGACACCTCTATCTCCTTACCCAGAACATAGAGGCTGAGATGAGGAAAAGAGGCCAAGAAAAACAACTCTCCGTCTTTAGTGTTACGCCGCTTGAACTGCTTTACATAAGGGACAAGCGGTGAGCAGAGAACACATTGTGGCTTTGGTTCGTGTATCACTCTGACAAAAACAATAGGGTTTTCATTTTTTTCCCAACCTAGTCTCGAGTATGTGAGGCGGGTTTGCATGAACCACAAACCAACCAGAGGGCCTGCTTTTCTTCTCTTAATGCGTGCACACTGATGTGGCATGACAAGATTTTGGTAGCTTCAGCACAATCACACGCAGGCCGACACCCACAGACACCTACAACATCTGCACACAGACACATGCATGCATGTACTGACAGGTTTAATAAGTTCTAAAATAAAGTTAGAATTTGGTTTGAAACGGTTGTGCGAACGCTGATTTAGTTTACCAAAAGGATTCCCCAAACATAAGGCCAATGGTTTGTAAAGGTAGTCACATCACCTGATCTTTCTCACATATTTTCCTGTTTCAACCACAAACTTCAATGCATTTCAGTTAAGTTTGATTTGATGAGCAAACAAAAGAAAATAAAGTGGTTAGGGCAGGATGATGTTCATGTTCTTAAAAAAAAAAAATAAACTCCCATTTTAATTTGTATTTTAAAAACTATAAGGGCAAGTTTTTTTTTAGCACCCTTTTTACTAGCTTGGGTATAAGTATGGAGCGGTTCTGTGACCATCAATTTTATAGTCGTTAAAGAGATTTACTGTAAGATTTAGAAATGGAGTTTAACTGGGATGCATCTATATGCATCTGTCCTTCTATCTCTGTTCAGGTCCCCTATCCCTGCTGAAAAAAAAAAACATCTACTTTTAGCAAACCTTTAAGCTTCATAGAACAGCTGGATTTATAATTATATTAAATACAAAAAAACAAAAATAAAATATTATCAAAAATTTTGCAGCAGTAATCCCTGACCTTCCCCCATGGGGATCAATAAAAGACACATCTCATCCTGAACCACATTTGAGAGCATTAGACTAAAAAATGCTGTATAGAAATGTGTCCCAAGCCTTTTAATCTAGAAAAGAATATATATCTAAAACAATATATTTTGTTCCTCATACTCCATAGAAATGTGTTGGTCTATCCAAAAAACAAATCTCAACAAAACACTTTAAAGTTTATGCTTGCAACGTGACAAAAAGTGGGCAAGTTTAAAGGTTATGAATACTTTCACAAGGCACGATAGCATACAGTGCAAGACCCCTCACCTCTGCTGAGGCGTCCCACACACATATTGTCGGGGGACACCACTTCCTGCTTGACAGAGAAATAGTCCCCCTGCATGGAGTTGAGGGCCGTGTCTCGTAGGATGATGCCGGGGTATTCGCTCTCATACTTGAGTGTAAGCAGTTCCTCAGAGCTGATGGGATGGAGCGTCTGGTAGGACTCCGTGATGAAGCCCGGCTCTGAGTATTCAGAAGGAGGGACACACTGAGCATGCTCAATACCATAGCCTGGAAACACAGAGGCAAGTTAAGGGGGATAGCTAAATTAAAAAGAAAAAAACAGAAGGATAAATGAAGCAAAGGGAAGCACAGTCATTGTTTGTCTAGCGTTCAAATTTTCCCAAATTAAAATTTCTATGGAAAAATATCACTAAATGCAAAAGTATCCCTGTAGATCTGAAATTTACCAACAGAATTATTATTCTAGAACTAGTGGCAAACTGTAACTATAGCAGTTTGTATTCACAAAACGGATCAACTTTCCATTCATATCTTAGAGATGCATCTATGGCAATTAGAGAGAACAACTGACGACGATTGTGATGAGTACTTACTGACAAAATAGTCTGAGGTATAACGAGATTCCTGGAAGTTGGAGGTCAGTCCATTGATGGGGTAATGCTTTGTATCCTCTTCATAAAAAATGGATAGAGAGTAAGCGTCAGTGACCTCATTATTGATTTTTTGCTCTTTTTTTTCTATCATGTAACTGCATCCAGCATTATCAAAAATTAATGTCTTGAGTGAAAACATGCCTTCCTGTTTGTCTCCTGTTACTAAACTGCCATGAGGACCCTCAATTATATAAAAAATAAAAAAACAACCACTATGGATTAAATATATTTTCTAAACTTACAGCAAATATAGAAAACAAACAAGAACAGGAACAAGAAAGTATGATTGGCTTTTTTCACTGAATTGTTTTTTGCATTACCTTTCTGGAGCATTTCTAAATGTTCCCAAAGGATGTCGCCCACAAAGTCAGGTGCTAAGTCCAAAAAGCGGTCCTTCCCCATCGCGCACAGGCTGGCTCCATTCATTCCAAATTTCTCAAAGTCAACATTTTTCAGACTGAACTCATTTACTGTCCACGTTAGCCATTCCACCACATGGTTTTCTGTCCACTGTCTGGGATCTGCAGAGCAATAAAAAGCTGATGATTGGTATATTTACTGCAAACCCATTGAAAGTGAGTGCACAACAAATTCAATGGAGGCTAGATATGAAATTTCTGGTTTCACGCTCACTAACTGGCAATTGTCACAAAGAACATAGGGACGGAAGGGAACATTAACCACAGTGCTAAAATGCAATGGTTGTCAGTTGTAGTGGGATTACATTGTGATACTGTCAGTCAGATTGATTGCAAACAGCATGTCTGTTTGTGGTTGCATGGATTTAAAGGCCAACTCATCATGTTTTTACTCTGTCTAGAAGTGAAAGTGTGCTTGAACCAGAATACTTGAAGTTTTACACAGGGTTTCCTTTCTTTTGGTACAAATTACCTTTCAGAGGGTAAAACAAAACAAATGTATGCCCGACATGTGAAGCATCGCAGTGGATTTGCAGTCTAAGTCCTAGCTGAGAAAATAAGATTCCCACAAATAACCAGCTGACACTCTTTACCTTTGGGAATACCCAGCCTTTGCTGCTCCTTTGTAAAGCCACTGAAGGTGGCCTTCAGAGCTTGGGACATCATCTCTTTACTCCCAGGAGTCAACAGGGGGACGTCTCCACACTCTGGATCTGCAAAACATGAATAAAATATATACATAAATCAAACATTGTTTTTAGATTTGAGAAATTTCATCCAAAAGTGATTCACCAACATTAAACACATTCACAGAGAGAGACTCATTCACATATGTTAAAAAATGATACATATATCTTTTTTATTATATACAATTTAGTGTGATTTTTGGTTAGCTGATGGTTGAAAGGCTACATACTGGACTATGTATTTTAAACAGTGGGCTCCTCTGGCTTTGTCAACAGGCCCTTAACTGTATTTATGATTTTAAGGGATTAGCTGAACTGTAGCGTTACACTCAAACATATATAGTTAAATAGTTTCTGCCCCCTCTTCAGAGAGAGTGCTAATGCACAGGTCCTAATGGAAAAAAAGTTTGCATCACACTAGTTTGACAATTTAGAGCGGACTAAAAGGTGTGAATGTGCCCTTTAAGGCACTGCATATGTAATTTATTGTTTGAAGTTTCAGCGGAGACATAATTCCGTACAAAATCCAAGATCATCTGGCAATGAATATTATTTATAGGCTCCCCAGACCCAATCTGCTCCCCTGCTTCTACATCCTGGGTGGGGGCGCAATGTCTGGTGCCCATCAGAGACTCTGCGACCCCTACCACGTCGCCCTGACACAGTGGAACTAGTGTCGCAAGACCAAGCATGGGGTCAAACATTCTGGGTGGCTTAAAGAGTGGGGGGGTGGGCTGTCTCGAGGGTCGCAGTGACAACACTGTGTTTACTGTTCTCTGCTCTCTGCCAGTGGGCACCCAGCAGGGAACAGGGCTGCCTTTGATGGCTTTAAACAGAGCCTGATGACTGCACTCATCTAATTAGATTGACCAAGCTGCAAAAGTGTGGGATAAAGGGCGCAAACCATAAGGAGAAGATGATGGGAGAGAGACATAAAGACCTCAATGCTAACAAAAATCCACAGTCTTCCAAAACAACAAACTCAACTAACTTATCATTTAATGTGCAAAGAGCTCATCTTCATTTTCAAAAGAAACCCACATGTAGTACCATCAATGTGCAACATATGAACATGATAAATGCTGAATTTACAGACCACAGCGCAGTCAGTATCTTATTTATTTATCCACAGGATTAGTTTTATCAAGCCTCAACTTTCATGCAACCTCTTTTGCCTCAGTTAGTCTTTCAAGACTGTCAAAAATCAGTAATCTGATCTTAACAGGCAAATTGGTAAGAGAGAAAACTGTGTCACTCGCCAGGATAGAACCACCGTTCGTCGAGCCCAGATGTCTTGGCATCTCTACCGGCGTGTGGTTTTTATCTGCCAAGCAGAGCTAAGCTCATGCTTGTTTTCACCGCTCACTGACGTCTCGACCTTGTCTGGAATGCAGAGCAGCTGTCCCTCCTTCACCCATGTAACCGGTGTCTGTCTGGCTGTTTGTAAAAAGTAGGGCTCTATGTTCCTCCGTTCAATACAGACCTGGGACAAAAGATGGTTCTTTGGATGTTCATGGGAATCAATTATGCCTATATTAAATTATATCACATTCTATTACACAGGAAAGCAAAAACAAAGAGCTTCTTAGAACAACAAAACAACTTACAATTAGAAAAGGGTTGGATTCTGGTATGAAGGAATACCACGGATTATCAAGGGAATGCAAGAAAAGTAGCTAAAGTCGTCAGAGGTTTGTTGATTAAATGAATTGTGGAGTAATGCAGCTCACATCGTTTCCTTGCTTATCTGCAGTTTAACTACTTCTAAAAATAGTAGGTAATGCTAGTTTGTAACTATATAAAAATAGAATAGCAAACAGCAAAATAAAAAATGTAAAAAAATATATATATCTTAGTAATGGCTGCAGTGTTACCATTTTAAAATAAAAAAGTATTTTTTTCTTTTTTAAATAAACACTCTATGGATTGCTAATTCTAAAGTACATATTTTATTTATTTTGTCATTGGGCAACAAAAAAAAGGTAATTTCACAGGTTTTAAACCAACTGTTGATTGCATTTGATTGGTTAAACTAAAAAACTTAAACAATACAATAGTCGGACCTTAGTGGATTACTCTATCCAAAACATGAGTGGAATAATCTATTTAAGGATTCTTTAAAATGCAGACTACTAAAACTTTTACTTTTTCTGCTTTTATTATTTGTAAAACTCAAAAGACGTCACCAATCATGCAAGAACTACCAGTGGGCAGGAATCTTATACAAACCAATGCCATCTAAAACAAAACAAGCAAATCGTTTTAGACTACAGTGCTATAAAATTGCTAACAAACTTCAATATAACAATTGTGTAATAACAATAGGACTTTAGCAAGCTGTGTTGAGTTTTCCCTGAAAGTAACTCCATCTAGCCTTTTACCAACTCTATTTTCCTTTTAAGAGGCGTTAGCGGAGCAGATACTCTCATATTGCAAACGGCTCAGACAGTCTGAGCTTTGATGTGAAGACAGAGGCAAAATGTGGCAGTTTATTTGAGCTGGATAGAGTGAAGTTTGTCTGCACTTTCGAACCGTTTGAGTCCCCTCCCTCCCCATCGCTTTTATCAGCCTGGCTGCTGTGCGTGCTCGCCCACGCAAAATGGAACCCACTTTAACACTAAATCCTCCATCAAAAGACACTCAACACCACAGAGTATAACTAGCTATGCTGGGCGTATTAAACAGATATGTAAGAACTAAGAATACTGGCAGACTTAAACTGTAAAATTAAAGTTTTGTTTTATCCAACTACTTGTATGCTTTGAAGTGAAAATTCAAACCAAATACACATATTAACTCAAAATGCATGTGCATCTAAAGACAATATTTTTTTGTGCACTGTATTCATCTACACAGTTTATTTTTGTGTGAAGCATGTAGCAGAGGGTAGAGCAATGTTGAAAGGAAAACTCCAAATGCAAAACTAAAGTGATAATAGAGCAGTATGGTGAATTATCCTTATGGAAGTTATCCATGGCAGCGTTAATGTACAATACGTATCCATTAGTAGGAAAGAGGCGAGCTCGGACCTAGACGATCCCTAGTAAATGATGAAGTCCTGATACAATTTCAATGCCTGTGAGTCCCATTAGATGCAGCATGGTCAGTGCGCACTGAGCCTTAAAGCATCCACAAGTCATCACTTTCCACATTAGACAGTGTGGGTTTGTCCGCAAAATGAGTCCCATCCACTTAGCTCACGAAATTGTGGGAGGGTGTGTAAATCACAAGGCAACATTATGGCATTCAAATTTCACAAACCAGACTCTGAATTAAAAAAAGGGTACCAGCAGACAAAAATATGAACTGGAGGCCATTTCTAGTAAAGTTGCAAGATGTTAATCTATTCTAAGAAGTACTAATTGAAAGTAGTTTTTCAGCTAGAGAAGCAGTAAAAGGTATTGATTCACTACTCTTGTCATTATTTGACTGGGACAACTACCATGGATCCTTACACTAAACTGGCAGGAGTCTTTGTCAGCATTTTGAATTATGGGTGGGAATTTAAGATTGCTGCTGCTTAGACCCAAAGTTAATTAGGTCTGAACAGGCATAGCTAGGTAGGGCTGGGAAGAACTGGGAAAGACAGCATGAGAGTATCTTAAATGGCTGGGGGAGCATGACTCATCAGCCTGTAAAATGAGCCCACCAAGGGATAAGAGAAGCACTGGTGGGCTAAAAGCAATTGAAACAGAGCCAAACAATTGAATGGGGGGATTCATAAAGATCCCCCTCTCCATTCTACTCATCTCTTGAGTGACATCACAGTAGAATCAGTGCCATCTTCCAGCTCCTGGCAGAGGATCAGTTCATTCATGAAGTCTGTGCTGCTGCCTCTACTCACAATGATGCAATGTTACAAAAAGAGCATGCAACCAGACCCCACAAATAAGGGACAATATGCTTTCTGTCATGTCACAGGGCTAAATATAGCCTGGGAAGGTTAAGTTGGTGTTTGTTAGGATGGAAATAGAATGTGGACTGTAGAAAAATGTGAGAATGGGGGCTAAAAATCTGCTCAAAGAAATCTCTTTTTAAAGAAGTGAAAGTGTCCATTTTCTGTGGTTAAGCTGCAAGTTCCTGTGGCAAGGGGGGGTGGGTTGTGAGTTCAATTGAGGGTCATTTCACAGATATTTCCAAGTTTTTTTCTGAATATCCCAAAAAGCATTGGGCCGCATATCATCAACAACACAAAAGGTGCAGAAATAAAGTTCAGAGTGGAGGTAATTGTTTAAGAGCTCATGCTCTTGTTGGTTGTCTTGGGTGAACTACCCTATCTACAACTGAACAATGCTGGAAAGTTCTAACCAAAGGAGTCTTTGATGAAGATCCATATCTAGAAGCCCAATCTGGGAACATAAGGTCATAAATCACACCAGTATAAAGGGAGTCTTTTCAGCAATGCAGGGTGATAAAGTGGCTACTACTGTGGATGAGAGAGGAGGAGTATGGGTTAGCTGTCTGTTTTTAAGACGGCTTCTTGTGTAGTTGTTTCGATTTTCCATTTTAATGCCAACGAGCAGGAATATAAGAGTAGGCAAGGTGAGGAAACCAGACCAGACCTAGACCAAAACATGCTTCAAAGCAGGGCAGTTATAGGCTAACACAATCCAACTTGAAACCAGGAAAATCCCACCATCAGAGGCTCCAGTCCTGACACACTAGTTTTATTCTAACATTCTAACCACTGGCTTCTGGCTGCCCCTCTGAAACACGAGCCTGTGGCGATGTTAGGCAGCTGGAAAGGACGCACTGCTATTGCTGACATCTGCCTTCGGCCTTAAAAGTAAGAGTTGCCCAGAACAACACTTCAACAAAAACACTGGCAAATGAAGCATACAATAATTATTAAGCTGTGTTTCTACTAATTCATGCAATCAGGTATAAAAGCTAAACGTTTTTTACTAGAGGTTTTATATGAAAATAGGTTATCTCCCTGATGCATAGTCAACTGTTTTGTGTAAACAGCTGAGCTTTAGGTATGCCTCAAGTTTTCAAGATTGTGCAACGCTATCCGTGTCTGTTGC